TGTGAATTCATATAGCATGTGCCTCACATGAGGACTGAGCGTGATTAAACAAAACCATTTCGACACAATTGATTTAGATCGACGCGCTGTGCACTCGTGTAAAACAATAGACCTGATTAAGTGACATATCCGCTGAATATTAATGTTTAATTTATATTCAGACAGAGCAATGTGCCCTCGCTTGTTCACATTTCATCATACTAGCTGTACCGTATTGACAAATACATTTCAATTACATCCCTTTGATTATTCGTTGGAAGTCCGCAATGAAAGCTGGTCATTTCGCAGCCGCGATTGTAACATGAAACACCGTTTAATATCCTGTTTGGAGGTACATATTTGCGAGTGCGTATTGAATTTGCAAAAGCAAATATATTGGATGCATTTTCAGCGAAGTCAATATCGATAGCATAAAGTGACTCCTTTACTGTTTAAACTTATCACAATGTTAATTAAAATATATGCCAGCTCTTGCTTCTCTCGTATTATGTGCACCGTTTAAACCGTTGTTCTTAAATCCCAGGGGATAAGTCAGAATGAACAGTGGTCAGTGTAGTTATCGCTCAAGTTAGCTACTCATATACGCCAGTGAAATCGAGTACAAGTCGGTTCTAAACTTTTTATATCTTTGGCATTGCACTTGTGTAAATCGAAGTCAGTCACTTCAACTTTACTTATAAGTAATTAAACATATTTTGTTATTTATAATTATACTTCAAAAACTTTAAAGCGTTATTTTTTTTATAAAAGGAATATATTATAATAGTATTACTAGTAGTAGATAGTAGGTACTTTAATTATTGTATCGAGGGTGCAGACATTTTATCAATAAAAAAATATGTTATAAAAATAAAAAACCCGACTGTATAAAAGATGAAAACAAGTTCACGAAGGAAATATATTATGCAGTCGGAGTCATACATACGAGTATGTATATCTCGCGGCAAGGATGAAACGATAACTTTACTACTACTTATTATTTACTAATATTATAAATGTGAAAGTATCTCTGTTTTCTTTTACTTGTTAGCCTTTCACGCTTAAACCGCTGAAATTCATGCATTCTAGGGATACATAGGGACTACTACAGACTATCTTTAAACTCCGCCAAGCTTACAATGCGAGCGGAGCCGAGGACGCAAGCTAAATTCTTTCACACAACACACAACTCAAAAACTATATTTTTTTCTCTAAAACTCTATCCCCTTTTCCGAGATGAAAGCGGTCTTCTTGCCTGAATCTACTTTCCGCCTGACAAAGGCTCTTTAAAATAACCATTCTGGAGATTTGCGGATAAAAAAAACTTAAATTACAAACATTTTTAACAATTATTTCATATTTCGTCGATACCAAATATTCTTTGACGATTCAAAGCAGACTAATTGAGCTCAATATGAGGTTGCTATTTTTAATAAATACTATACTATTTTATTTTTAAGTATATGTGATAGGTAATATCAATGTACTACTATTCTGTGATAAAAAAAAGCATTCGCGCTTCTACGACAATCGAGCATATTGTTACAAGTAAGGCCGACCGATGTCGGTACAACAGTCAACGATTGGAGCGGCCGAAATCGGGCGAAGTTCTTTTCCCCGCACTATGTCGTCTTTGTATTTCACCTTGCATTATTTGCGTGTATGTGTGTATTTGTGTGTTGTGTACTTGTGTTATCAAATTTTCTTGTTAAATGTTCGTATTTTTAGTTATAAATGATTACTTTCTCAGACTAATTTTTCTGGAGGACATTAATATACCTAAAATAATAAGCAAAGAATACATGGTAAACCTATCTCCATATTATGTTTGATATCCATACTTCTATACTTAATATTATGAATGTGAAAGTGTGTTTGTTTGTTTGTTTTATAATATTAATATATTTCATAATGTTAATTAATGGATATTGTCTATCTATTCCATAATAACTTACGTATAATATTTTAAGAAATAAACATTATTTGAACAATATTAAAAAACATGAATTTAGGAGTCACCATAGAAACGTGTTCTCGTCTTAAGCTCTTCAAGTAGGGCAGATTTATCGGGGCCAATTAGCAGGATTTTCTGCAGAAACGTAGATTTGTAATACCTACATACAACCTCCTTATTGTTTCACATGAATATAGTAAGAGCGTGGGTTGTCTTCTTTAAGATATTAATCCTTTTTTAATACCTAATCGTTTTATTTATTTTTCTATCTATCTATTTAAATATTTTTCTTAATGTTCTAGAATAAAATGTAACATAAATTAGGTATTTTGTGTATCGTTTAAATGTGCTTATCAATATATCTGAATTCTAAACGTAGGTAATTTTCAACCCGCTTCCGATTCTTTGTATTATATAACTAGCGATTCACCCTCGCATCGCTCGGGTTGATCTCTAGGTACGTTTTAACGGTTAGAATGGTTCAATCAATTTAATGGCCAATCCGTCATTCTTTTTCGACCTGAAAGTATGGCAAACAAAAAAAAACAAAATCAAAGTCAAACTGTATATTGTATTAAATCTATGCATTCAAGTAATTCAGCTTATATGAATTTTAAGCTTGACGTTCATAATTATAAAGTAGTAGTAAGGAAAAAGAGAAATATGAAAGGCAATAATCACATATACATATTATGAACCGTTCATTTTTCCGGTATAAAAAGTAAATTAAGTGCATAAGTTGTTGTGTACTAAGCTGTATGAGTTTAATTTTTCGGGATGAAAAGTACCTATCTAAAATGTTGACCAGGGATATGAGAAACCGCCATGCAAAATGTCATTTAAATTGGTCTAATCGTTTCGGAGATTAGCCCGTACAAACAGACAGACAGAGAAACAAAAAAAATGAAAAAAATATGCATTTGTTCTCTTTCTCTTCTTACACCCTCCTGACTCGGTTTTTAGCATTTTTTTCTATGTACAGACATTCGACCTCTACAGTTTTATTATATGTATAGATATACATATATGACATATAAAAATATATAATACTATGCACATATAATGCTTAATGGTGGTGATTGATACTTTGCAATATAAATAAAGGTGCTGATTGATCCTTGAATACATTTGTGCTAATAAATAGTTTTGTTTATTATTATTAGATTCTAAGATTTTTAAATTATATTTTAATTTGGACCTACTAATATGACACAAAAGCTTAATCCTTAGACGTTCCTAACCAAAATTCAATAAATCCTTGTGTATTACTTAACATCAGAGTCAGGTGCACTATATTTAGGCAACCTTTTAGGATTAAAGCTAACTTAATAACCGCGTAACGTAGGGATGTGTCTGTTTGCACCCAGATGAAAGCCAAAATCGATTTATATCTATAGATTACATAGTCACTACACTCAAAACCCACTCCACGACACACGCCTACATTGACGCAACGTGAGATAAGGGCGTTTCATGTGCTATCTAAAGGATTAAGGAAGGGTCGCATATAAAGTTTTAGAAATAATATTGCGTTTTAAAATAATACAACACAATTTAATGGCATCAAAGACTAATTCTAATATAAATTAAAATTATAAGATAAAATACAAATAAATGAAAAATAACTTATCTCAGTTTTATATTCATTGACAGTGAATTATAATTTAGTTGAAAAATGTCTTCTATCTGATATTTAAAATGTAACCGTCTTATAGATTTCTTTTAATTTATACTAAGAAGTATTTAGATATTATTCATTTCAGTTACAGTATAGAGCTTCATTTCTCTCTTCTCTTAATTTTATTGCACTTTCGATATATCACTTATAAATAACGTTTTACTTAAATCATAATTATTAATTGGTGTGCTTTGATTTGTATTGGCTGGCATTGACTTGGCTGGCATTGGCTGGCATTTAAATGAAAACCCCCTTTTAGTTGTTTTTTACTTTTCAATGCATGGAAGTCGGTTTTAATTTATTTATATTTTAAGTTTTTATCGTAAAGTTCTCATAAATATAAATTAATCAAGCCGAAACGCCAGGTAACTGCTGTAAATCGTTGTAGAGTTCTCTCAACTGTCTTTCAACTCCATCATCAGATCGACTCCAGACCTTCATTAAATAGTAGTACTTTGAAATACTTAATGAAAAAATTAACAAATGCACTAGTCGCCACTACGATTTTCGAAGGTTCCCCTCGATTTCTCTGGGATGCCATCATCAGATCCTGGTTTCCTTATCATGGTACCACCCCTGGGATATCTCCTTTCCAACAAAATAATCATTAAAATCGGTTTACAAACAATAATTTATAATAAAATTATAGATCTTAAAAAGGTCTACAGAAAAGTCCGGAATAGTTATTATTATGTCTATCTTCTAAGGCACACTCGCATTAAGTTTTTTATTATATACTAGCGATTCACCCTCGCTCCGCTCGTTCGTTCCTAGTTACATTTTAACGCTTAGTACAGATTTCTCAGAGATGAGATATTTTCTAGCAGTAAAAAGTATCCTATTTGTTTATTTACTACCATCATACCCAATTTTATCGAAATCCCTCCAATGGTTTCTCCGTGATGCGGCGCTGCGAGACAGACAGACAAACTGACAGACAAAAATTCTAAAAACTATAGATTCGGCCTCTGTATCGATAATAATGACTATTTCAATAAGATTTTCCAAAAAATATTTTATGTACAGATTCGACTCAGAATTTTATTATATGTATAGATTCATTTAAAAAGTTCAAAATCATCTCAACCTCTTTACGAAACGTCGCTAACTTCAAACTCTGATGTAGTTCGAAAAAAAACATTAGTTGACAGTTGTTCAAAAACGTTTAAAATCTTAACGAAATACTTATTTGTGAATAATTACATATTTACAAACAAATAAAACACTGATGGCATTGGTAATTATATACTTTAATTTCTGATATCAGTATGGATATGTCTAACCTATATTGATTAATTATATTCTGAATTCCAATTTAGCACAGGGAAATAAAATGTAGCCTTCGAAGTCGAAATATTTACATCATCTTCGTATATTTTTATTATTAATATGTCAGGTAGCCCCCTTACAAAGTACCAGGTCGGCTAACGCCGGATAAATTAGAGGCTTAATAAATATAATTTATATAGATGTTGTACGAGTATGTTAAATAAGGAATGAAAATAGTTAAATAAACAATAATTTTATTATGTATACATATTTAAATAGGGAAAGACAAAAAAGTTTAGCACCTTTTTCTCCTTTTTTTGTTAAGTATTGGCTATTGAGCATTATTGTTATAAAAAATTATTATAAGCAAGTTTCGACCATTGGACGAACACTAATAATTATTATTCTATTAAATATGTAATGTATTATTAATCAAATATTTAATATAAACGTGTAATTCAGCTTTCAGGATCACAGAGAGTGTGCTTACTAAGAAATAAAATTAATGTAGTTCTTAATGGTAAGTAATTTAATTGCTTAAAGAAATAATTTTTCAAGATTATATACGGAGAAGCAGAGTAAAGTAAATTAATCAAAATTTGTTTGTGAGTATGTTAGTAACTTACACCAGTCATCTAATGGTGATGACGTTTGATGTTTAATGCGTGTCACTTTTTATTATGTAGCATAAACATATCGTTTTTTTTTAATTTAAACCGGAAACCAACTGTTTGTGAAAATCTGTAGATTTTTGACGCCACCCTCAAAATTGCGATAATTTTTTCAGTTCAACTTTATGAATCTTACGTTAAGGTAACTTTAAAATAGATTTGTAATTCGTAGTTTCGCAGTAACATAGTGTGCCAAATATTTATTATATATACACAAGTAATTGAAATATGTGTGTTTAGAATGGAAGCGTCAGGTAGCATATACTATACAACATCATCAACACGATTGTCTGGTTATTGGGGCCGGTGGTGCCGGGCTCCGAGCAGCAGTCGGACTGGCTGAAGCAAAATTCTCTGTCGCTCTCGTCAGTAAATTGTTTCCGACACGTTCCCATACGATTGCTGCCCAGGGTGGTATGAATGCTTCGATAGGTAAGTCATAACGATTATACTGGTATAGAAAATTAATGACTTGTTAGGGTAATTAGCTATTATATTAAATACTCTTACGGAAACTACTTTATTTAGGGACATATCTAGATAATAAGTCTGCTATGGTACTCTTGGAATTAACAGTTAACACTGTATCTTTGTGGTGAGAAAGAAAAATAAATGAACAAAAAATAGTTAAAATTTTATAACCATAATTCATACATACTTGTACAAGCATGTCCGATCCAAGATTTTATTTCGGATTCAATTTTAATTAGGTGTACAAAATGTTTTGAATTATAAATCTGCAAGTATTTCATCTCACATGTCACTATTTGAGAGCACCCTTTAAAACTAGCATTTAAAGTGTGGGTTACTACATTTTAGGTACCTACCCAGATTATTAGATTGTTTTTTTTTAATGAAATAATAGAGGAGTGTCAGAAAAAAACTACTAATAATGTAGTAAAATATAGTAACAAAATATTATTTATATGCATGTCTAATGGTCAATCAAGAGGATATACCTATGTAACTTATTTTTAGAAGAAATTTTAGTTCTCAGATTTCATAATCTTTAAGGATATCTATCCGTACAAAAGTATTGATTGTGTGGACCCACCGTTATTATTTTAATTCAAAATGTCATGACCTATATTTGTATACTGAAGTTGCTTAAAAGTTAGTTCCTACTTGTGTCAAGTTACAAGTTAAAGAGTTTTAAGTAAATAATTTTCATAATACAAAATTGTCACATACATATGTATATTTGCTTCACTTCAAGCTGCAACAGAAATATATTCTTTTTTTATATTGTTAATTTCTTTTTCTATAATAGACAGCAAAAGTTTCTTTAAACTGTTGACTTTATTTGATGCAGCATTTCTATCATTTTTTTTGCTTCTCAGTGTCCTCGTCGAATTATATTGTTAACAAGTTTGAGGTTTCATTATGCGCCGTAAAATGTATCCCTTTAAAAAGTTATCTTCTTGGTGCCATATTAAAAGATATGCGTATACCTTAAAATACCAGGAACATATATTTATATAAACTACCTGGTGCAACAGCCCCCCGCCCCCCCTATCTAGGGGTGACGCAGGGGGCTGTTGCACCAGGGGACTGTTGAATTAAAAAATACAATACCACTTTAAATGATTATTCATTACTAATAAAAATTATTGATATTATGCGTTGCTTTATATTATTCCTTAATCAACAGGCAGCATGCATGATGACGATTGGCGCTGGCACTTTTACGACACTGTCAAAGGATCCGACTGGCTTGGCGACCAGGTACGTGATTAAAAATTCCCTTTGAAATTCACATGGGCGTCGGTGCAATTTTTTTCAGGGGGGTGCAGATTTTAAAAAATATCGATATTTGAAAAATAACAATTTTTAATTTTTCCAACGAGGATCTATTCTGAAGCCTTTCAAGAATAGCTCCAAGAAAAGAAAAAAACTCAAATTTATAGTTTAACAATTATCACACTTACAAATTCATGTTTAAGCGAAAAAGATATTAATTAACAAGCATATAACTAACTACCTAATTGAAAAATGTGATAATTTTTTTTTCGGCGGATTATTGTTCATTTATCTATCCAGTAAGCCCTTGTATTATTTTTCATTTCTTAAATTTTACATTTAATAATATGTTAAAATATTTTTTATTGATAAAGTGTTCGAAGTAGGGCGTGGCTTGCGCAAGCCAGAGCACCCGTTTACGGCCGTATTTTTATTCCTGTAGGAAGATTCAAGATTATAAATATTGGTCTTACAGTTCCGGGAGTTCAGACTTTTTTTTAGTAAATTTCCTCCTCTTTTTATATCTTTTTTTTTTTAGAATTGAAAAGAGAAATTTGAAATACTCAATTAGTTTATGAGATTAGCAAAAACCAACTCATGTTTTTTGTTAATTGCTTATTATATTATTATAACTTTTGCAATTTTTGCAAGCGGAACTTGATTATTTTTAAAAATCATCTACACGCTACTTCGAATCGAATGACATTTCGTTCATATTTTACCGAGACTGCTGAAAAATCTTGACCAAAAAGGCACTTATTGACTAGACTAATTAAATCCCTTTTCGTAATCAACAAAGGCGAAACACAAAGGACATCTACCTAGATCCATTACCTGTATCAAAGCGTAAGCTTGTTCTATGGTAGAATATCCAATTCGCAAAAAGCGTAGATCCATCTTTAAAAATGGTTATTGTCACAGTCTATGTGTAAAAGAATAATGGCTTGGTAGCTTTCAATTACTATAGAATCCTATCAGATATTTCTATATATGTCGGTGCCGGCCAATACAAATCAAAGCACACCAAATTTGAAAATATCTGATTAGGTATCTATAATAAATTAAAAATAACCAGTTAGTTATTTTTTACTTTTTAGTGTTTTTTTAAGCCGGTTTTTAATTCTTTTTTTAATTCTACAATAAAAAAATATGTTCCTCAAATTGTGACAAGTCTGAGTGATAGTGAGTGAATTTAAATGGTATTAGAAGTATATTTTTTTCTTTGATATATCAAATTCGAATAGGAACTGTATGAAATTGTAATAGATTTATTAATATCGATTAAGGTAATATCATAGTTTAACTTCAAAAAATTAAAGATCGTCACATTTTTAGAAAGTATGCTACAATTTTTGTTTTAAATAAAAATACCAGATATTAAACAGAAGTATATTTTTAAACAAAACGACGACTTTAACAAAAAGCACTTATTTTTGAAAAAAAAATACGCGATAGGCAGAATAAAATAGTGTTCAAAATGTATAACGTGAACTAAAATAATACAGAATAATTTTTGTTATGTATTTATAAATAATCAACTCTCTTACCTTAATATTCTATTAATATTTCTACTTTGTAGGATTCTATTCAATACCTAACACGAAACGCTCCCAATTGCGTTTTCGAGTTAGAAAATATGGGTATGCCCTTTTCAAGAACTAAAGAGGGAAAGATTTACCAGAGATCTTTTGGCGGTGGAACTATTAAAAATGGCAAGGAAATTGCAAAACGTACATGTGCTGTTGCCGATCGGTAAAACACTTTCATTTTTATTAAAAAAATCTTATATCGCTATTAGTATTTCGTTAAAAGTGCCTTCTACGAGTACTACAATATATAGAATATAGTTTTTTATTAATATTAGTACTTTAGCACAAAGAAAGATATAAAAAAATAGGTAGAGATAATTATTATAAATGTGGAATATATTAGTCTAAGCCTAAACTTGACGCCGCCATTCTATTTTTTTCTAGCAAATAATGGAACTTTATTTAGTACCCGGACGTGCACATATTAAACCAATCACCAGAACTTCTCTTCAATCAGACATTAATTAAAAAAAAACACTACATTTATAATACTATTATTTGGGTATTTATTAACTTTTGATTTATAGAATCTATTAGAAATCACATTTTTATAATTTGATGTATGTTTGGAATTGTACATACAATTGTCAATCGTCGTACTAAGGATAATGGTTTGGGCAGATAAATAAAGGAACAATACACACACATAGAGATAGGTATATACGATGGTCATTGAATAAAAACTATCCCCATGCATTTCACTTACGATTGGTATTGTATACATGTATGTCGCCGTTTTTACTTCAAAAAGTTTTATTGTTGATTTTCTTATTTTTTTGGTATTTTTAGTACCTACCACTCACAAGAGGCTTTCTGGTAATTTTGAGATTTTTTGATCACTGGTTAAAAAAATATCGAAAAAGACCCTCTTTTTTGGTCTTGTGCTCATAACTTTCTTAATAATGGTCGAAATTCAATTTTTACAAATAAAAAAAATAATAAAAAATATTCCAATTAATTGAGATTTTTGAATTTTATGTTTTCAATCGTGTTACATGAAATAAGCATCCCTAAACACAGTATAATAAAGATAAAGACGTAATATAGAACTACATGATATGATAGACAGTAGACAGTGGTAATCCTCTTGTTTGGGAAACCAAGTGGAAGGGCTTTAAGCCCGGATGCCGCACCTATTCTACTTTCATGTAAAATCATTTTCAGTACGATTACCGCCTACGATGGTCGTAACTCAATAATTTTCAAGTCTGGCCGCGAGCACGTCGTCGTCTGGCCCCGCCCACCGTAGCTGGCTACAAAATTCTCCCGGGACAAGAGATAAAACGCCATCTCTCGGATGACTAATAGAATTATAGATACATAGTACAGGCTAAGTGAGCTCACGTTTTTAAAAATTTTGTTTTTGGTTAGATTTACAGAAGTTCTTTAAAATCTACTTTATCAAATGCTCACATAAAATTACTTTTAATATATGAATCTGTTATCATTTTCCTAACATACTGCCACTTAGCGGGTGGATAAGATGTTTCTTAGTTTAACACGCCAACTGCTAGATGGCGCCTTTCGATAATGTTATATTTTGGATATGAACCCCTTGGTTTGTTAAGAGTTATCACATGTTCCCAGCAGAGAGCAGTACAATACCATGATTTAAATTTTAAGAGATTAGAAACTTAGAGAGAATTGAAACTTAAAGAGGCGTACATACTACATATTCTTGTCATGATAAGAAAATATTATAATATTCAAATATAAAAAGGGCAAATCACGTTTAATTATAATAATACCAGCGACTCACCCTAGGTTCACTCGGGTTCGTCTCTAGGTATGTTTTAACGATTTGTATGGAATAGATAGACTATATAATATTATAAATATATACATAGATATGATAAGTTGTTGTGACTTGTACTATAACATGTTTTTCCGTAGGAATGGGATAATCTCCCGCCGTAAAAAGTAGCCTATATCACAGATCATTATAACACTCTACTAGTACCTATGTTATTCTCCAGCCCACCATAGCACCAACTATCACCACACTAAAATCACGCCGATATGTCACTCTGATGTGAAAGAAGCACAAACAAACAACTAAACAAACACGCTTTCACATTTATAATTTTAGTATGCATTGCCAAAAATTTTCATGAAAGATTGAAGAATATATAGTATTTTTAATATTATGGCTGTACACTTCAGTGTTATGAGCAACGATATTAAAACTTTTAACTTAAAAAATGTTTAATATTGTAATTTGCAGCACAGGACACGCTCTCCTCCATACTCTATATGGGTATAGTACAAAGTTCAAAAATATCGATCTTTTCTCCGAGTTTTTTGTTTTGGATCTTCTTGTACAAGATAATGTCATTTTAGGGGCTCTCGCTCTAGATATGGATGATAGCAGTCTTCACAGGTTCGTTTAAAAATCATATGATATGTTTTGATATTGTTCCCCGACTTACATTCATCGTTCTTTATAGAATAATCTTTAACTACTTACTAGGTACCTACTTTTTCTTTTACATGGAAGTGTCCCATTCATTTGTTCCACCTTACATACTAATTGATTTTATAAACAAGAACATGATTAATGAAGCGTTTGTAAACAGTTTTCAGGCTAAAAACACTGTGATTGCAACAGGAGGTTATCCTCGTATGTACTTCTCTTGCACAGCAGCACACACGTGCACTGGAGACGGCTGCGCTATGGCCTCACGAGCTGGCATTCCACTGCAAGACCTGGAATTCATACAGTTTCATCCAACTGGTACATAAATTGATACTAATAAATAAAATATTATTCATTTCGAAATTTCCAAATAACTTTTCTTAATTTCTTAGCAAAAAGCTTAGAGCTATGTGCTTTTAACTATATCTTAGTTATGAAATTTACATATAAAAAATAAGGTTCATTATTTTAAAAGCTTTAAGTCTTTTATGTGGATCCGATATATTCGCTCGGGTATGTCCCTAGATGGCTTATGAAGGTTTGTTTGCAATACATAGACTATATAGTCTACCTATGTATATGTATATACATATATGTATCGATGGCGAAGGGTTCATACGAGACGTCCTACGCTATATGAATTATGCTATAATTTTACATACATTTAATTTTTTAAATTAAAATGTTCTTTTGGAAATATATATATATAATAATGATGCCTTTATTTCTTTCTGAATTAATACATATATAAAACTTTGTTAGTTATTGGAACGGCTTACCTGTGCTAAAATTTTACCCTTCGCCACTGATATACATATATATACAACACACATAGTTTTTATATCACTTACCTGAGAAATGATTGATTCCCCATACAAAGTTCCACCCCTCTTTTCACCTCCTTAAGGGATGACCAGGGTAAATACTGTCCTATGGCCTTCCCAGGGTCTCAAACTATCTTTATACCAAATTTCGTCTAAATCGGTTCAGCGGATTAAACGTGAAAAGGTAACAGACAGACAGAGTTATTTTCGCATTTATGTATTAGTATGGATTATAACAAATATTTCATATTGTAACAAAGACTTTCTTATTTTAACAGATTTTTCTGTCTTACTTTTAAATTTTGCGATATCAAGTAAGCTATTTATGTACCGAATCCCTTTTGTACGTCATATTCAAAGTCAGGAATACTTTTGCCTACCTCGATACATATTATGAAGCAATATGATTTTTTTCACTATGTAACATCTTTTAATCTTATTCATTTTCAGGCATGTACGGATCTGGATGCCTCATGACTGAAGGTTGTCGAGGAGAAGGTGGCTACATCGTGAATAGCGAGGGAGAGCGTTTCATGGAGCGATATGCACCAAAAGCTAAGGATCTCGCTAGCAGAGACGTTGTTTCGAGATCTATCGCTACGGAAATCAGACAAGGTATTTAATGAAATTTGCCACTCAGATACACAATACCCGCTTTTATGTGGTCTTAGGCTCAAATTTTCAAATCTGGGTTATTATAACTAGTTATTTCTGGAAAAATATGAATATAATTAATACGAATAATAGGTAAACTAACTAGCCAAATAGTACTGAACTTTTAATTTAGCTCTTACGGTTATAGGACGAGGAGTTGGTCCAAAGAAGGACCATGTATACCTTCAGCTTCATCATCTTCCTCCTGAAGTAATTCGGGAAAGGTTACCTGGGATATCAGAGACCGCCTGGACTTTTACTGGCGCCGATGTGTATACTCAACCAGTGCCTATAGTGCCCACAGTTCATTATACGATGGGTGGAATACCTATCAATTATAAGGGCGAGGTAGTTTTTTTGTTAAATAATACACAGATCCTACATATATCAACGTAGATTGGTTCGATCTTGCAAGTAGGTATGTAGATCCCATTTAACAATTCGTCTTTTAAAGCAAAAAAAAAATTAGCCCGAAATAAGGGTATCCAATTCGTTTTTATGGGCATCTGTGGTATTCTAATGTCATAAATTTTAGTTGTTTAAGTGCACTCATATATTTTTAGGTTTTAGAACACAAAAATGGATGCGATACTATTATTCCTGGTCTTCATTCCGCTGGCGAGGCAGTGAGCAACTGCCACGGCGCAAACAGATTAGGAGCAAATTCTATATTAGATGTTGTAGTATTTGGTAAAGCGATAGGATTGAATATGGCAAATGTTGCAAATCCCGGCGCAAGTCAACCGAAGTTAAAAGATGTAAGAATGATGTGTTTTGTTTCCTCTCTTAGATAAAAATAGTAATAGCAAAACAATAGTATGTTACTAATAAAATGGAATTACAGAGGGAATAACAGTTACGAAAATAATGGTACACTATCTACCATTTATTTATTTTATTATTTTATTTATTTACATTTTTACCCCCTAATGGGATGATTTTTGGAAAATGTATTTATTAAATTGTATTGAAGAGCATTAATACCAAGTTTCAAGTAATTCTGATCATATTTTGGATTGTACTATAACGTGTTTTCCTGTGGGACTGAGATAATATCCCGCGGTAAAAAGTAGCCTATGTCACTACTACTATGACAATATCTCCACACAAAAAATCACACCAATCCATCACTCTGTTTTGACGTGAAAGAAGGACAAACAAATAAAGAAATATAAATACTTTCAGATTTATTTACTAATACGGATTTTCTTTTATTTCTTTAGGCACGGAAATAGAAAACAAATTTAAAGATTATAACTAAATACTTCGATCAGCGATACTATTGTTGACCGAAGACTAAATAATATGTATTTTAAGCATATATTTCATTTTAAATTAGGTGTCCAGTAATTATAATAATATATGCACACAACGTTCAAATAACTATAATGATATAAACAAAGTTAACCAAAAAGTTAAAATATGAAAAGAGAGAATGTTACAGTATATGCAGTTATGATTGAACAAAATTATTAAAAACAATAATTAGCATTTCATTTAAAAAACAACGAAAAAAGGGTAGAAATAGAGAGAACACATAATATTTTTATTACCGAAAATGTAAAAGACAAGTAATAATAATTTATTAACTTTTTTTCATATTTTTTATTTAAATGATATAAAACTATTATTAAAAATATCATTAAACGTTTAAACTGTTGTTTTATGCATATAACGATATTATTGTACGGTTTAGAATAGCATTGTGTTGTTTTAATACAAGAGGTGGTACTTAATAATATGTATTTTATACATATTATTAATATTATCTATACATATAATAAAATCGTAACTAAGCCGAATCTGTACATTAATATATTTTTTTGGAAAATCTTATTGAAATAGACTTTATTATCGATACGGAGGCCGAATCTATAGTTTTTAGATTTTTTGTCTGTCTGTTACCGCATCGAGGAAAAACCACTGGAGGGATTTTGATGAAATTTGATATGATGATGGTTGGTTATTCGGGTCAACATATAGGATACTTTTTACTGCGGGAAAATATCTCATCTGTGAGAAATCTTTACTAAACGTTAAAACGTAAGTAGGGACGAACCCGAGCGGAGCGAGGGTGAGTCGCTAGTATATTATAATATTTTTAATTATATGTACAATATCCTTAATCATTCTTTTAAATTTTAATGCAACTATATTTTACGTCGTGAAATAATATTTTAAAATGTTTACAAATACCAGAGTACTTGTGAACCTATTCTGGACAACTTAGATAAGGTGCGTAATGCCAAAGGAACGACGGCGGTGCACGAGCTAAGAGGGTCTATGAGAGCCACTATGCAAAATAAATGCGGAGTTTTTAGAGATGAAAAACTGTTAAGTGAAGGTACTCGAAGATCTTATTGTACTGCTTAGATGATTTATTAAGTTTAACTTATACAACATTTTACCATTTATTGAAATTAAAAACATCCAGTACTAAAAAGTAAAATAACATTGGATCTTGAAATTAAACTCTGAAAGAAAACAAACATTACAGACTGAATAAATTAACGATTAAATAAATTGACGATTCATAAGTGCTCGTATAAGTCTACTTGAATAAAGTTGAATTATATTAATTCTTTTCAATACTCGAAAATAACTTAAATTAATAAGTTATGGTAGATTAGCAGCTCACCCTCCCTTCGCTCGGGTCCGCCTCTAGGAAAACTAAAACAAAACTATCCTACAGGAACCGTACATTTGTCCGGGATAAAAAGTATAGTAGAAAGCCTATGCCAGACAATATATATTTGTGCCAAATTTCATCCAGATCCGTTCAGCTGTTCTGGCGTGAAAGAGTAACAAATATCCATACTCACAAACTTTCACATTTATAATATTAACTATCAATTGATTATTAAAATTGAAGTAACTTCTTTATTTATGTACTGATTGAAATAAATCAAATACTAAATGTTAAGTGAAGCTTACCACAATATATTAGTTAAAACCGCATCCAAATCGGTCAAGCCGTTTCTGAGATTAGCGCGTACAAGCGCACAGACAAACAGGCAAAAAATGTAAAACTCATTGTTTTGGGTTCTATTGCGTTAAAAATAAATAAGACCCCCAATGATAGTTTTTCTCAAATATCTTCCATGTACAGACAGCGATCAGTTACATTTTTATAATATGTATAGATATTATGGTAGATTAAAATTAATATTTAATAAAAAGATGGCAGGTAGATAGATTAAAATATATAAGAAGGTAGGTTAAAAAATTGACAAATTTTCTTTAGCCTCTTAATATTTAATATAGAGCAAATGAAATTTATTTAATGCCGAATGTTTATACACTTATGTTCATCGATTTGCTGTATACCTAATTAATTCAATATTTTCATACTCGAAGCCAACAAAGAAATCCAGCAATGGTTGAAATGTTTTGATGATATTCGCGTTACTGACCACCGCTCCAACTGGAATTCTGATTTAATTGAGGCCCTCGAGCTTCAGAACATGCTTCAAACAGCAGTCCAGGTAGTGGCTTGTGCACTTAATAGAAAAGAGAGTCGAGGGGCACATTTTAGAGATGATTTCCCTAAAAGAATTGATGAAATGGATTACAGCAAGTCTACTAAAGGACAGGTACCACGTCTTACGTTGATGATTTTTTGCTGTTCTGTTTCTCATTGTAATTTTTTCCTTACTTTCTCTCTTATTATATCTATTTCTTTAATGTTTTAGTAATAAGTTTAGTAAAAAGTAAGTAATAATATAAAACTTGTAATCAGCCCTTTTTATTAACGTCCCCCTGCTGGGCACGGGCTTCCCTTCAGTATGAGGGGAATCCGATCATAGTCCACCACGCTGGCCAAGTGCGGGTTGGCGGACTACACATGTCTTTTGAAAACTTGTTAGGTTCTCTCAGACATGTAGGTTTCCTCACGATGTTTTCCTTCACCGTTAAGGCAAGTAATAATCATGTTGGAAATGATTCGCACATGAAAATATCAGAGGTGCGACTTGCGAGACCCGGGATTTGAACTCGCTTCACTCGGTTTCCCAAGTGGGCTACCACTGACATTAATATAAACCTTACGGGTTTTAAATTTTATATGTAAAAAATGTGAAACGTTTAAAATGGTCATATATTAAAAAATGTACCTCCTACCAGTATTTTAATATTAAACAACCAGCATGGTTAGGTAACTAACATGTCAAATTTTAATGGGTTTTTCTTCCATAGACGGTGAAACCGATTGAGCAACATTGGAGAAAACACAGCTTATCAACTTTAGATTTAAAAACGGGTAATGTGACTATTACCTACCGACCGGTGATCGATAAGACTTTGGATGATCAAGTTGAAACTATTCCACCAGTCCCGAGAGTATATTAATGTTAATTTTGTGTATCTGTTATTAAAAGTTTGTGTGTGTAAAAGCCTTTTATTATTATACCAAACCTTTTAGCATAAAATCATTACATTAATAAAACGTATTTTATGCTGAATAATAAATGTGATGATTTTCTTAATATAGTATTTTCTTTTACCAGTGGACACCGTAAAATACCGATAAAAAAACGATAATAACATTGATAACCCTTAAATAAATGTTAAGCACAGGTAGATTTAATTTAGTTTAGTAACAATGTAAATTAAATAAGCTACAAAGGTAGTATAGAATGCACCTCCAATATCGTCTAACGCGTCTCCATCTCCTTTTGAAATATATAATTTTTTTTAAATAGTAATTATAAAAGTTAAAGGTTATACATAATGTAGCTATTTATTTTTGAAAAAAGGAAAAAGAAAATCCTTTGTGGTTGCATAGTTTCGTCAGTTCTTTTAAAATTGTAAAAAAATTGCCAAGGCCACTCAGCATGCTTTAAAAAGTCTTTGAAGACCGTTATGCACCAGGAATATAATACTCTTATAACGACCTTGTGCAACATAAGAATAGAAAATAATAGCGCACTCTTTGTGAGAGAAAAGTGTGAATAAAAATAAGTAAATTTATTTTTAATTGTTAAATATTTGTTAAACAATGAAACACCTTTCGTGTTTTTATCGTTATATTGTCAGTAATTAATAAAATTTATACACACAAGAGAAAAACATTCGTCCCGCCCAAATATATTCGTCGTTATACTTTTCCTGCCTGCCTGTCAATGTAGATGAACACCAGTGTACGGCGCTCGATGTTTTCGACTAAACGGCGCGTGACATATTAGGCAAATTAGAACTTTCCAGAGACTATAATATTAAAAAAATATATAGTAAAGATAAAAAATACTATAAGGAATAAAAAGTTTTATAATTATTTACTTAATCAAATTTAATTTTACCTACTTTACGCACTCACATACAATGCAAATTAAACAAAGTATAAAACCAAAATACAATTACAATAATAATTTATAAATCAGCAGTTTCGGAAATTAGCAACTGGTCAATAGAGTCGTGCACAAGCAATGAAATTAGACATTCTTTTTGTTATTTTTCAAATAAATAGTCAATATAATCCTCTAATTTAATGGCTTACAGCCTGCTTTAAAATTGAACCCGTCTTGCTGCCCTCGCTACGACGCTTCACTAGAGTGCGCTTTTCTAACATATTTTGGTTTTTGGTCATCTGAACGCGAGCAAAGCCGCGGGCAATGCTAGTCTAATATATGTAGATACGTAAAATACATAATATTTATCTATTAGATATTCATATCTTAAAATATTGTATACAGACTGAGTATGACACTTTTGAAAGCAATTTGAGAGATTCGAACAAATCCGACAAAATCCAATAGATTTCGATGCTTGAAAAAACGTTTTATAACAAATTCGGGAAAGTCCTCGATTAACATAACAAAAACTGCATTATCTATATCTTTTTTCCCCTAATAATTATGTGTTTAGACATTTAACTTTTATTAAAAAAAGGTGTTTTTTTTTTATTAAAGTGAAGATGGAAAGCCGATAAAGTTATGCCTAAAAGTAAAGCCAGAAAACTGGAAGCAAAATAAGTAAAAAAAGCTAAGTTCAGTAGCTGCTTTCTTTAGGGTGTACTCTCAAGTTAATTTTTCAAATTTACTACAAAATAATAATTTATAGAATACGTTATACATTATAACTATAGACTACAGAGTGAATAAGAGCGTGTGTATAATTTGTGTGTGTAAGTTCTAATATAGCAAGATAACATCACAAACGATGATTATTTAAGTATGTCTTAAATTCCGCACATTACTAAACCCCAAAACACCAAATGTTTTAATGTTTTTGTCTGTCCTTATGTCCGGGCAAATGTTTGAAAATATAATATTTTAATTTTATTTAATATTTTATTTAATATATTCTTTTTTTATAATATTAAAATTTTTAAGTTCCTCCGTAAAACGTTCTGAGTTTTATGTTTAGAAATAATAATATTGTACCAATTCATATTATATTTTTATTCATTTCGTTTCATCACATGAAATTTCGCTAGGTCTCACAGTAAAATCTCAGAAACTTCATGATGATATCTACTTGCAAAACATTAGGGATCAGTTTGACAAGATATCAATGAATTGAGCTACGGCAAAAATATTATCAATCAAAATATTGGACACGTTAATAATATGAACAATAAAGAAAAGAATTATCATGAATCTCGCACGGAAATCACTGCATTGAGGGTTTAAAAGGCTTACTTTTGATATTATTTTATTTGATTGGTTTAACAAAGTAAAATATAACGTTTCAATTAAATTTGGTGTTTTCTTGACAACCCTGACAGCTAACTGTTTAAATTATATTCTAACAAATATATCGCAAAGTCAATAACCATCCATATCGAAAGCTGGAAAGTCCTTGCTTTACTAACATGTGGCAAATCGCAAAGTCCATCATATTTAAGTTTCATATTTAACTGATTTGTTATAGCATTAAAATACAGATTTAAATAAAAAGCACCAAAATCTTACGTATAAATACATTATAACAATAAATATGTAATATAATTAAAATTTTATTAGTTTTTCGTAAATGGCGTAAAATTACTATAACTAAACTTTGCTGCCTTTGATAATACTTATAAATTATATTATTAGACCCCTGAAGTACCTATCATAATCTGTTGATGTTGCCATCTATCGAATGCTTTATAAAGCTCTTAGACAGATAAAAGTAATTCTTCATTTTTATACGTAAGTTGCTATAATCAAAAATTACAAAAAAAATTAATAATTATTAAAAATTGTTAACAGAAATGCTTGAAATAATAATTTCCGTATTTTATATTAAATTATAGCTTAGGTTTTAATATAATTACAATTTGATCAGTCTTCGAGTCTCAATATCTATTGGCATTTAAATGCAGTGACATCTAGCGGATTTCTACTGAATTTCTTCATAACTTATTGTTCTACGGTAAAGTTCATAGATAAGAACCTTTTAGTATGTTGCCTAAAGTGCCGAAAATCGATGAAACTTTGGTGTGAAGAAAAATGGAAGTTTAATGATAGAAATGGATTACTCTATTTAGTTAATTAAAACTTTCTACGTTCCTATAACCTATTTTATAAATACATGTATTAAATTATAGCTTAGGTTTTAATATAATTACAATATTGATCAGTTCTCGAGTCACAATATCTATTGGCATTTAAATACAGTGACATCTAGCGGATTTCTATTGAATTTCTTTATAACTTATTGTTCTAAAATAAAGTTCATAGATAAGAACCTTTTAGTATGTTGCCTAAAATAGAAGTTTAATGATAGAAATGGCTTACTCTATTTATTTAATTAAAAATTTCTACGTTCCTATAACCTACTATAAGTATAGGTACATGTAAATTCTGATTAACTACATGCAACTATGGTATTTTTGTACTAAATATTTATATAATATTGTTAATGTCTGCCAGATGGCGCTACCGATACCAAACCTTGCCCTATTATAAAATTGAATGGCAGCACACCTTACGATCGTCTAATTTAATGCATATTACCTTAAATATTGTTTTACCTCTTCCGTGATATTCCCAATATCTCTAAGAAATAAATACATTAAATACATTTACATTTATTATTTTATGTCAATCTTTGAAATCACTACCCAAAAAATATTGTAAAATTCCTTTCATTGAGTTATATAACATTTACTTAACTTAAATTGCCACATTGAAATACTAAACATTAATTAAATTATTTTTGGAGTTCTGAAACAATGAATATTTGTTAATATAATGTACGTAATTTTTTACTCTGTTTCGATTTCATAGTAATTAAATATAATCGTTTTAACGCTACTTTAAATTATATTATATATTCATATCTTAAAGCATTGTCAGCTGGCACCGGCTTCGCAAATTTTTAATTAGGTACCTATCTTTATTAACGTGTTCATTTTTTTATTTATACCGTTTTTTGTATACCTAAGTGTGGCAAATGTGTCAGAAGAAAATATTTTTTGCGTAATAGAATTTTAGCTACCTATTTAATTTAATTTGATGCCAAACATCATAAACAAAATAAACTATGTAGGTAAACTGCCTATCAATTTTTAATTGTGAATATTATACATAATTCTGATATACCAATAACTCTTTTTTTTATTGAAAATGGGCTCACTCTTGACCTTCATGTTAGCTCGAAGGCTCGAAGATAGGTAAGGTCTATGATCTAACAAGTTTTCCCAGGAGAAGCCTGTTCACACGCACCTTAAAAAGTTTCAGGTTGTACGCTCTCGGAAAAACAGACGCAGACAGGGCATTCCATTTCTTGGCTGTGCGCATTATAAAAGACGATGAATAGCGCTTAGTGCAAGTGGTCGGAATATCAACCAAAAAAGGATGGTATCCTGCAGTACGTCTGGTGTTCCGATGGAAGAATGGCGCTGGCGGTATGAGACATTGTAATTTTTTAAACTTTTTTAAAATTGCAAAAATGCAGTATTATATATAAATGCAGTATTAAGTTGGGTAGAAATGGGGAAGAATTTTGCCTTTTTCTCCCGCCAGACGACGCGATCACTATAGCCCTCAGTATATTATTGTAAAGTTCTATAGTGTGAATGGATTGTTTTTTCATTTTATTTAAAATTTAACTAAAATGACAAATTGTGCAGTGCCAACATGTAAAGAAAATGGATATCATTTGTTCCCAAAACACAAAAACTGAAGAAATTTTGGGCTAAAGCAATAAGACGACCAAAATTGGTGAAATCGTAATCTTTATAAATCATAATCTTTATATTTTTACTATCTTTATATTTTTGTCTTAAATCGTCTACAGGTGATTTTTTTTGTACTTTATTACATATTAATTGCAGAGTTTCATACAAACTTTCATCCCCCATTCTACCTACTTATGGGATTGAATTTCGAAATATGCTAAAACACGTATTTACTTAATTGTATTGAAGAGCATTAATACCAATATATAAACTTAATTACCCTTTTTACCCATTTAAGGGATGAATTTCGAAAAAAAACAAATAAATATATATCTAATTTTTTTATTTCAAAGCTAAACACATCTTTCTGTGTATTTCACATTAAGAATGACATAGTTTCATACAATCTCTTATCCCCTATTTTACCCACTTAGGGGATAAATTTCGAAGAATCCTTTCATATTATCCGACGTATGTATATTATACGAATATTATATGAATATTATATTGTATATCATGTTGTAATGCAAGGGTTAAGATTATTGATATACAAAATATCCGAATGCATAAAAGCTAACTTAAAATACAAAAAGAAGTTGACGAAAGAATAAAGTATTATTCAGTCGGAGACATACATAATAATATTATGTGTATATTACCATGCACCGTTTGCGTACCATGCACCGTATGTATACCACCTAATATCGAACATGTACTGATAAGAAAGCTCCTTTATTCTCTCCTGTCCTCCCGCTATCGCTTGTGGTTTTCGAATTATAAGCGTTGATACCACCGTAAGTACACAGTAAGTGTACAACCGACCCCGGTCTACCCTACTATGATAAAAATAAGCAAATAGATACCTAATAAGAGACTTTGTATGTTTGTCCAAGATGTGAGAGAGCTATAAAATATTTTTACTTGTATAATAAAATTGTAATTAGTAATACAATAGAACCACGGTAACATGCATTACATTACCGTGATAGAACTAAGTAAGGTTTTCATTCAATTTATTATTTCAAAGTTGGAGAATAAATAAATTAAAGACATATTTTCATTTGTTTTATTCATTTCCAAATACAATAACATCTATATAATGGTTCTACGTCTAAATGGAGTCGTTATTACGACACATGCAATGAATTAAATTAAAAATAATATTTCAATAAATAATCATTTGTGTAAATAAATCTTTTAAAATAATAGTGACTGAGACATGTTTTATAAAATAAAATCACAATTAAGGTAACTAAATGTTAATCATTCATATATTCTTTAACTACAATATATTTTGAAGATTTTACCTACAGCTGTTATCTGCTAGTTAAATTGAAAAACATAATAGGGACCAAACTTGAATCGTTTGAGATAATTCATTCTCAAATTATAGGTACATTAAAACGTATAAGTATAATTAAAAATATATCATTTAAATATTAGCTATAGTTAATTAAACCTAAAAACCAGAGAAATAAACACAAATATACAGCAGATATTTTTAATTAATTATTATATTTTCTACAATTTATGGATAATAATAATAATACGATTGCACTTTACTTTACTATATCATCTACTTTAATATATACAATCAGTTTATAGTTGAAACTTGTTGACACAATGTGCGCATTTTGTTTTATGACATTTTCGAAAAATTTCTAAGTATTATAGAGCTATTAATTAATAATCGAGTAGAAAATGCTTTCTATTCGTTAACTTTTAATTCAGAATTATTATATTAGCCCATAGAATAGTTTTATGTTTAGGAAGTTTAGTACACTAAATTCCATTTAAAATTATATAGTTAAAAATTAATACAGAAAAATTTCAAACAAAATGTCACTTGAAATTACTCATTACCATATAACTATTTTCTGAAAGTTGATATAATTTTACAATTAATAAGATTTGCACGTCACTGAAGTGTTGAAATGACTGATAACGTACTTGAAAACACCTCGCATATTAGAAATGGCATGGCACAATTTATTACTACTTCTTCTAAGATATCAAGATTTTTATTTCATAATCAAATTCAATATTTCAATGAATTAGATTATAATCACATTATACTACAACTTATTTTAAAAATTATACACATTAATACTGAAATATCTATCACCATTTAATTTCACAAATCATAAATCGTGTTGATTTTGTAGAAGATTTATAAAAGCAAGCTCATGCAAGCATGTTCTTCAAGAAATAAACTTTCTATAACTTTTTGGTTTCCTTGTTTAATTTATAGTTAAGGTTATACGATGAATAAAATTTTCGATACTAGACGTCCTAAATAAATTATATAATTCTACTTAATTAATGAGTATCTAGTATTTACATTTTTGATAAAAGACTAGTCACGCTTCGCGTATATTCGCGTCAGGTTTAAAAAAATACAATTTGCCAAATAAAATATGTATTGTATTTTGTATACCCTGAAATGAATATAACGAATATGGGATTAAAGGAATGATTTTTGGTTTTCCGCCATCCTCACATAATTTTGACTTTCCAACTTAAAATTAAAAGAGATATTTTTTGTCTACGATTAAATCAGAAATATAATATTATTACAGCCTTAAATATTTTTTTTTAGAAATGCCTCACGAGTTTCCTTTATACGGCAAACAACAACCATATTTATAAAAATAAAATGATTAGTTTACATCGTTGGCTGGTATTGCCAAACAATGTCATGAGTTTCATGGTTTCAGTAGGCCGGTCATGCGTAGTGCGGATATGAGCCCAGGTGTGACGTCACATGGGGTGGAGCCATAGAGTGGGGGGAGTAGAGGTTGCCCCCACCCCCGCCCCAGTTACTCCATGACGCTGACGGGAATATTGACGCTGGAACAAAGTTTGCTTACCTAAGTTAATATTAATTGCAAGAGAAATGCTTACAAGTACATAATATAACATATAAGCACTTCGTCGCTAAATTAAATTGCACTAAACATAAAACATCCAAGTCAATATCACATTCGCTGTTAAAAAATTTCGCTTCTATCGCATCGCCAAAATTTGCCAGCAATGGTCCTAAAATGAAGGAGGCGTAAATGATATGAAAGAAAAACCTAATAATAAAGAAATACCGACAGTAAATACGTTAAAATCTCGATTACCACCATTAAATAATTCATTCAGTAATATTATAAAGCGGTTTTAATATTGCAATATGTCGACTCCTACAAAAACAAGTTGAGTTCAGCTGGCAAAAAGCAGTTGAGAAAATGAATGTTTATTCCATTAAGTCAAGAGCGTGAATCGGGGCATGGCGTTGACATCCCGCCTGGAGCTGTGCGTCAATATTTGGTCAGCAAGTGTACATTAGCATTGAATGCAGATTACACTTTGCTTCTGAAGGGTGCATGATATTACTTATTCTTATTCAAACTTGCATTTTAAAAAATCTTGAGAAAAGGGTTTAAGTGGTTTAAGGACACATTTTTCATTTGTTAGTGATAGTAGGATGGTGTGTTTTTGATACTTTAAAAAGGATAACAGCGATGGATTTATTTATTCTTTTTTATATAGAATATGATGGTGAAATTAAAGTGACAGATGATGTTATCTACGTATAATGATTTTTAAGAACACAACGGGACTAAAATTTAATATATTTTCAACAAACCTCAGACATGAACATGTCTAACAAACTAATAATAAAAAAGTTGATCATTTGATTTATTAATCTACTATGCTTACCGACAAATCTGCGTTTGTTAAAATAACTTCAACTTTCTAATAATAAATGAAGTACTTATTTCTTGGTTTTGATTCAAGTAAAATTTGTTATTTATCAATGATATTTTAAATTTTAAAATATTGTTGTTATTATTTTTACATATAACACGAACGTAATATATAATTATATACGGTATTTCCTTATACATTTTTATTATAATGTATTTTTAATATAACCCATCCCATTTTTTACGTATTGCAGTTTATGTTATTATAGATTACATTAGAATTTCAAGATATCATGTTGGTTACAGTAAAATATAATATTCTCACCTGTAGACGTAGGCATAGCCGCGTGCGGAGCCATGAAAGAAGATAGCTTAGCTGAGTGGTGATAGGAGCTCATGAATAAATCGCTCTGATATTTATAGGCTGGGTCGCTGGCCGCCGGTTGCGTGGCCGCTGCTAGCCCTTGGAAATCGAACTTGTATGCATATCGTTTACCATGCACCTTCGTCATAATATTCTTGTCGTAGTAGTATCTGGACAAATTAAGGTTTATTAGAAAAATAAGGTTATTAATGAAGAAATAATTAATATAAATTAATTGCACAGTCACATAGCGAAAAAGTCGCTTAGCAGAATGGGTACCCAAAATATCGCAACGCTTTTCATGTTACCATTATGTCCAAATTCTTGCTTTGTTACCTTAGAGCCCTACTAAGTTTGTCGTAATTCATATTGGGCTTCGACTTGCGCTCTCCCCACCGACGGGCCACTTCGTCCGGGTCTGTGAGCTTGAACTCTCCGTTAGTGCCCTCCCATGTAATGCAGCCGGCATTGCTGGAGTCGCTTAACAATTCTAGCAGGAATTGCCACAACTGAATTTGCCCAGACCCTGGGAGAAGACTAAGTGTTAATAATTTTTATAAAAATGATGCAGACAGTATGTAACCATTCCTTTTTAAAGAATATCTGGTTCTACGCAAAACGATATTGGCAATATTACAAACCGATAGAACTAAATATTTATATAAAAAACGAGTATCAAAGTCATTCGAGTCATGTAGGTACTTACTCGTATGATAAATTTTTAGAGAGAGCCAAACTCACTTTAATTCGAATTACACTTTGGCGCTTCTTTAATAAATCCAGTAATTATGAGACTATATTATGTAAAATGATACCCGAAGTTATTTCTCAATGGAAATTAAATTTGTAATTTCTAAAAAAGCTTTTTAGGTGACTTTTCAATAGAAAATAATTTAATGATATTCATTTTACAACTTTAAAACTTAACTTTAGCTTTTACATCTAATTTATTGATTGTACAACTATAATGAATAATTATTGAGATGGAAAAAACTTTATGATAGCAAACACTTTAAATAAGACTCTTTAAGTGTATTTAAAACATATAAAATATTATGTTACAGATTAATACTATATCAAATTTTTGAATTTTATTTCGTTAAATAAGACATTCATATGTACTTATGATACATACTGCACAATCAAAGTTAGTAATATCTTCATTTGAATACTTTTTTGTAAAAACTATAAGATTGTATTCTGACTTTTTCATGCCCGATTACGCGATTCCGATAAACGTCGAAACTAATGTAATGCATATTCTACACGCACAGATCTATACCTACTTAGCGAAACGAAAAGCATAATGTGTAGGGTCGGCCCGGCGTGTTGCGATATTGGGCGGCTATGTTACGATTACGCACGACTTGAGCCGAACGCGCCCAGCTGTAACCAAGTACCGATAGCAAAAAATATATATAAGAAATGACGACTTTATGATTACGTTAACAAATAAATTGTTTTTTTTTTGTTCATTCCCAAGTTATATAGAGATTGGGATGCTCAAGGATTTCTTTTATTTTAATATTTTTGCAAAAGTTTAAATATTACTATTAAATTTTTCAGAAATATCAATCTCCATGATGACAGATAAAGCGTTAGATAAAGAATATATTATACATATAAATCTAATATATATATTTATTTTCATCAGCATGTGCATCCGTTTCTGCAGACACTATAATATAGAATGGCCACGTCACACGAGCGTGGCATCCCAGTGATTTATACCCAATCGATTATGTCGAAGTCACAACGTTTGCGCTCCTCGCCTCGCTGGGAGAGCTTGAGGCATTGTCTGGCATGCCTCATCGCTTTTACGACTTGCAATTAATTGTACATCGACGCAATCATCCATAGTACGAATGACATTGCTAAACACATTATTTATTTTCATTATTAATTATTTTTATTTAATCGATTATTAAACTGTTCGAAATCATTGATTTTAACAACTTAGACACACAAAGGCTTATTCGAAACAATTGTATAAAAAAGCACAATGGAATAGGTACATTTTAAATTTATTTACTTATAATACTAGAGTTTGATACTTAGTTGATCTATAAAAATGGTATATAAACTTACTTAGTTAAAATATGAAATTTTTAAATGAAGTTAAGTTGGTCACCTAACCTCTGCTACCTATTATTAGATATACCATTTAAGTTCGGTCACAGGTGAGCTAAGGCGTGGGAACTGCCAGTAATTACGGAGGGCCACGTGCTGCGACTGTCTCACGAAAGGCACGCGTGCTCACTGCTCGCCCAGTGAGGCAAGTAACATAATTATATGCTTTATCCAAAGGTGTAACGTTAAACTAAGGCAATTTATATTCATTTGCAAGCTTTTTAATTTCAACATCGATTTTGGGGTTGAAATGTGCGTGGAAAGCAATTTTATTAAATCCGTTGTTTTTTTTTCTTAATAAACCTATGAGCAAAGATTAAAAATAGTAGAGTATCGTCATAGCGATTAGCATATTACGTACGTAATGTCTTTCACAAAATTAGAGACGGATCGGAACGAATAGGACGGATCTGAAAGGTTTTGAGAAATATTTAAATGAAGTCCTTTTGAAAACAAATCTCAAACGACTTCATTTATAACCGCGCCTCATATTTGATAATCAAAATATACAATTACCCTAATTAAACTATAATATATAACTAAGTAGTATCAAGTTCCTTGCATGATTCATAAATGACACTTCATTAAAATTACAAAACCCTTAAAAACCTCAGATAAATCAGATTGTAACATAAAATCACTGTTGATCAACCATACTAATACCCCAGGTGGTATTATTATCGTGACCCTACAATCAATGTTAGCCTATTAACATTCAACTTTCACAAAAGGGTCGATCTAGACAGATAATGTATATGTAGTGTACGTGATATACGCGTGAACTCCGTTCCCACAAGAAATAAAGTGGCCAGTATCGAAATCAAGTAAAGGTACTTGCGTGTGACGCAACAGTTTATATTTTAGCAGTTACTTTAGAACATATATTTTGGATAGAAATAGAATCCAATCAATGTGAATTACTTATTACCTCTTACTATTTTTCTCTTCATTTTTTCTATAGGTACTTAAAAGTTTTTAAAAACATCTCTTTTCCTCTTTTTCCCTATGCTTAAAAGATTGAAAATACATCTAAAAGCGTGTATAACTTTAAATTTTTACCTGAATTAGCAAGACGACTACTGGTTGGACCAAACATCTGGTATGGATCTGTGAAAAAAAATACATTTTAATAACTTAAAAAATATATTTTACAGCTTAAATTTTCGAAATGATCACTTAACATTTAAGAAAACGAAATCTACTTGGATGTTTTTAACATCATGAATGAATTATGATTTTTTTTCATAGAAGATTCGTAAAAAATATTTGCAATCCCTTATTATTTATTCGTAGGCCATCCCTACTAAAGCTTTTACTAATATAGGTATTACTTATAGTGAAAAAAGTCATTATATTGTTATAGACAGCACCTACCTGTCTGTAATAACTATAAAATGACCTTTAAAACGATTAAAACCTTGGTCACTTCCGCGACCGTGATTGCATTCGAAACGTCGGGGACCAAAAATCCGCGAAAAATCCGAAAAGATATTTTTATTTAAAATAATATTCGTTATTTTAATACATACTCCAGTTGTTCAAGCTATACATAGTTATAAAATCAGTAACTTAGCGAAATCGATGTGCGCGTTTCACGCAAAAAGTACTGAACCGATTTTAACTAAAGTTACTTTTTGTGTAGCGATAACATATTACTCGCGTCAATATTAAGGATACCTTCTATGACAGGAAAATCTTTCATTCCTACGGGAATATACAATAACTAGTTCTATCGAGTAGTTCTTAGAAATTTACATGTCTAACGCTAGAAAAACCTTAAAAGATACATTAAAACAATGTACTAGAAAATTGTAGGTCTTAATAGGGCCTATAGAAAAATTTGCAATAACGTAAGTCTTTTTCATGAGGTACACTCGCAATAACTATTCATATCTATTTAAAACGTACCTAGGAACTCACCCCGATGGAAGTGAGGGTAAGTCACTAGTGTTACATAAAACTTACAAATTTCAAGCCAATTTTTCAAAAAATGATAAGATAAGACTGTTCGTTATTCCTAAATAGATATCTTGTAAAAATATTTCACTTATCTAGGTGTCTAGGCGATAAAGATAGGTGTAGCCTTGACAACAGGTCAACAACAAATCCAAAAAAAGGTAAGATACAGTGCATAGATTGCATTTAAAACAGGCGTAATGAGTCCAACGTGCAGCCCTCAGAATTAGCATAGATAAAGCGACCGACCGTGGAATGGTGGACCAAGTGGTAGCGTCTAACAGTATAGTTTTTAAGTTCAACGTAATTAGAACTAAATTAGCTTAAAAAATAATGCTTTTGATTGGGACTTTCGAATTATTTATCTTACGTAAGTACCTAGATTAGTAACTATTTATTGTGTTTATCTATTAGTAATATCTATCTCTAAAGCAAAAAAGTGTCTAAAACAATCAAAACTAAGTATTCTAATATCACATATTATAGTATTAATAAGCGAAATTTCATTTTAAACCATTTCTTTTCGTCCGTTCATCGAACCCAGAACCGGTAGTGGCTATGCAAAGTGTCGTAATATTCTCAAGTCCACTCATGCAAATCGTAATAGTTTCTGTCGAAATTAGTTATAATGACATCTAAATAAAGACTTAAATCGTTTACAAAATCCGATTTGAATAGTTGAATATAGAAATTGAAACAAAAGCGTCCCCAAAGTACTGTTAGTGGCTTTGTTATTATTATAATAAAATAATTGTTAATGACACTCGTGTTACTGTTGGGTTATAAAGTAGGGAGCTGTAACGAATCGACCCCATGACTAATAGATTTGAATATGCCATAAATGCTGCTATGATTATAACGGCAGAGGAGACGAGGCGAATATCTTATGACGAAAAATTTCTGTTATTATCTAAGCTGATTTTTTTAAAATCAATTATTATTAATTATTTCTTATAATTACATTAATATTTTTTATTATTTTATTATGATGTTTACAGGTACTTGACAAAATATACTTCACAGAGAGTCAATATGAAAACGGGTAATGCATAATGCATTAGTTTTTTCACCATTGTACCACGGTAATGTTATATGTAACATTACCGTGACTGTACTATGTGTAATCCTTGCTTACTTCTAAGTAAACGAAAAGAAACAAGCGATCCACTCTTACTTCACTAAGGCCTTAACTACACTACATCTTTAGTATTCCACCGCTACTACTTATTGGAGCGATATAAAGGTAAGCCTGTACGACTTGATGATAGATAACATGGCTTCGTATTATAGAAAGAATTTATAAAATCAGATCAATTATAGTCCGTCCTACATTTAAACTCACAAATTATGCGTGGTGTTTTATGCCAGTTAAGTGGGTACTACGAGTATATGTGTAACAGTTGAAAAATACACTGTATATATTTAGAGTAATTTTTTATATACAAGTTAAATAAAAAAAATGCCTAATTGACTAACAAAATATGCGGTAAAACAATATAAAAATAGTTGAAAAAGCCCCTGCACTGTTGTTTGGGTATCCATTAAAGACTATCCTCTAGGAAAATATTATGCAGATTTACATTCGTGTTTACGCTTACATACATAATCTTGATTATTATATCATTTAAAACGGGACATTCATCATTTATATATTGGTATCGATATGATAAATATATTTTAGATTAGTATATTTGTATTATTATTTATTTCAGATTTAATGTTTATATTAGGGTAGCAGCGATATAATTTTTGGGACTACAATAAATTTGTATTTTACAGAACTTAGACTCATCAACACATCACACTTTTTTAATAAAATTTTAATTCTTATATATTTTACCGGTACGCTAATAACAATATTGTTATTAAAAAGCAGACGTGGGGAGACATTTTTTTTGTAAAATAATTATGATACGTATAATATTTTTATTTAACTACCCAAAGAGAAATAACAATAAAAGACAATTCTTTATATGTTTTACATTTATTTAATAACGAATGACGAACATGATGATTATTGCCAATACAAGAAAGGAGGACCGTAAAAATAAATGTCCCAGTTCATGCCGCCCACCATGTCATAGGGCAAATACCACTCGTAGAAATAGTATTTGAACCGTTTCTGTGAATGGCAATATACAATACGGGGAACGCAAATTTGAAAGTTGTACATTGTACTACGGAACATGTCCGTTTCATACGACGTAGCCCTTAATATTATGCAAGTAGGTATTCGTTGTATGTCTAGCCAGCCCTGAAAAATATATATACATATACTCGTATAGCAATTTTTTATATTACAAACTCGTCTTTGACCAATAATCTTTTTTGTATTCACATTGTTTTGTATTGCTTGAATATGAAGGATTATCACACACACACACACTCTACTTCACGCTACTTGCTTGCGGGATAGGCAGCGAGAATATAGCTTTGAGGGAACATACATATATGTATATTTATATATGTAGGTACTAGGTAATTAGGTACATACTCGTAATTAAAAATCGTCGAATAGCTTTATTAACTTACTCTGATTATAATTTTCCCCAAAACGTCCATATGATCTTTATGTACATGCTTAAAGAACTTTAAACCAAATTGTTTGCAATCTCCATATATATATTCACTGTGTACCACTTCTATAATTATATCGAAAAATAAAATGTTAGTAGATATTTGAAATATTATTGTTAGACTGCTATGTTTCTTTAAATGTTATTATTATAATTAGCGACTCACCCTCGCTTCGCTCAGGTTCGTGCCTAGGGTACGTTTTGACGCTTAGTATGGAATAGATATTTTTTTTATAATTTTTTTTCGCGATTTTTTCTGATGTTTTAATCATCATTCTGCTATTCGGGGTGAAGACAAATAAAAAAAATTAAGATCATAAAAATCGGTCCAGCAGTTCTCAAGTTATAAGTGTTGTAATAAACCCGACTTCGTTTTTGTATATATAGATTTATTATATGACATCTGAAATAGTTATATAATGTAATGTACCGGCTCTTTCTTTTTCTCATTCTCTAGAACTGGACGTTTAATTGAATTGAAAACTAGTTATGTTTTTTTTTCAATTTAGGAGATGATTTTAATCAGTCCAATTGTTGCGTTTAATTCGCCACGAAATAAACTTTTGAAGGGTTGCACAAATGAACCTAGCGCGTACCAAATAGCGGGTAACAGCTATCTTATGGAGCTCTAATTCATATTTATACAAAAAAAAAATGAGTCAAATATATATAATATCACCACAAAATTCCATAAAAAGGAACAAGTCCATGATAAGATATTATAAAGTTATAGTAGAAAAAAAACTTATTTATGTTACCTGGTGCCGCCGGGGAACCTGTTAAGATTAAATCACTGAGCGACGTAAAATATTTCCAACATAGTTTTTCAGTAACTGTGAAAACAAATAAAAAGTATTTTAAATTATACCTTTATTTATTTATTTTTCCGTACCAATAACACAAATATAATAAATATACTAAGTACCGAGGCTAATTATAAGTAAAAATTGAAGCTGTGTAACATAATTCATTGTGTACAATTAAAACAACAAGGCAAGATATTTCTGAACGAAATTGCTTTTTAAAGGCATTAGTTTATTTATAATCAATGCTTATTTTCAATAACAAATTTTGTAAACATTTAATTACTACATTCATGATAATTTGAATTATTACATACATTAATTTTATGCCAGACCTGTCACTTGAATAAATGTGCATAGCATTGTTGTACTATAGCCAAATAAAAAGCGAATAAATAAATGGGTAAACAATTTTTCATCATATAATAACGAATATTTTATACCGACTTTAAAATAACTTTTAAGGAATTATTCCCGTCAAAGTATCGTTTCATAATCTATCCTATAAAGAGACAGTTTGTTTGTTTGTTTGCTTGATCGCACTAATCTCTAATCTTAGGAATTCCCAATCCTATTTAAAAAATCTTTTTGCATTAGATAGCCCGTTTATTGAAGAAGACTATAGGCTATATATCATCCCGAAAAAAAGTACGGTTCCCGTGAGATAGATTTGTTTTTATTTAGGGATGAACCCGAAGCGAAGCGAGGGTGAGTCGTTAGTAGGAATATATCTCGGGAAATACCTACAAAAACCATACATACAATTTACAAC